GTGACAGGGGTTGGCGGGGTTGGTGGAGATGGAGATGGAGGTGGAGGTGGAGGTGGAGGTGGAGGTGGAGGTGGAGGTGGAGGTGGTGGCGGGGGGGAAAGGCGCGCTGGGGAGGTAGGGGAGGTTGGGGAGGAGGAGGACCTTGCTTAGTTCTGGGGAGTTTTTCTTTGAATAATAATAATTATTCTTAATTCCCATGAACTGCGCATTACCTTTGGTGCTAGGCTCGTAAATAGAACACTGTCCAACCATTCGAATTCGTACGGTCCTTGCCGGTCACTCCCATACTAGTAGACGAATTATGCCATAATATGATACACTAGGAACAGGGCCTCGAAGTCTCGAGGGGGCACTGCTAGTAAGAGTAATTATTCCTTTCCAGTTGGTTGGTATATATATATTTATATTTTGGTGTTTACCGGTGCATTGCTCATATCCTGGCACATACGCTCACGTGACCCGTCATTTTGAAAGATCTTGTTTTATATAGTGAGATAATAAGATGAACCGCCGTAGGCCTTTGCCAATGGATCCACACTTGGAAAGAGAGAACTCGAAAATGTATATGATCCAAAATACAATACAAATTCAAAACAGCAAGAAACCGCAGTGTGAACGCCGTAAGAATAAAGGAAATACACCCTAGAAACTCAAACACCCTCTATCCAAGATACTCCACTGAAGGATAACTGAAAAATCTACTGGATTGTCACAACTACCACCACAACCATTCCGAGAAGCGAAGAGCGCTTACGGCAGTTGGTGTTGCTCGTGGGTTAGCTTCCCGTTTCTTTCCGGCGTCCTATATTCGTAAGGGCCAAGACACTCTCGCCACCCCATCATCCAGGATATCTCCCGGATAAATACGTACATGCAATCAAATTCTTCAGGGGACTTGGGGATGCGTATCGGAGTGTGCAGGTATTTATTGCAGGAACCCTTGGGGTTGTATTGGCGATCATATTCCTCAGAGTGCTGGAAACGATATGTCCCAGTGTCCTGGTGTTCACCGGAGACACCCTTGGTGCCTGGAGTGCTATCACACTCCTCGGAGGCTAGGGAACTGTCGAATCCAGTGCCTAGGTGTTCATCAGAGGTACCCTTGGTGTTTGGGGCGCTAGCTCGAGGATTCGTCCTGGCTATAAAACCAGAACACATTAAGTTTCCAATCAAGAAACCCACCAAACCATACACAATACTGGTGAGCAGCATGGAAAGAACAGCTGAAGAATATAACAACGGACAGTCAGTACATAGGACCTTATAAGACTCCTGGATTTCGCAAACTAACCAATAATCGCTCCTCGAGTTGTGTATATCAGGTATAACTAAGTAAAGTGTTCGTGGTCGGTGGTTAAGATATTTGCTAGGCAGCGTGGAACCAAGCTGAGTTTAAGTATGTGCCCTCAACATGTAGGCTAACCGGGGGTCGGGGAGACCATAGTGAGTATGAATTACAATAGGGAGGTCCTGCAGACGGGCATGAACGTGAACTTGAACTTGTTGGTACA